GGCTAAATTAAGAGTAAATTAATAATTAGCTAATACATCTTATCATATTAAACATGCTCAATTTTGTTTAAAAAGATTTGTTTATACAACTTAGGTAGTATAAAGATATATTTGTATATTATATGTTATTTTATAAAAAAAAAAGTTATAATTGGAAAAAATATTATAATAAATTATTTCTTTTCCTTTTCACTATTTATCTAAACAATGGTTGATAGAATTCTTTTCCTTTCCTTTATTAATTTTAACTATAAAAAAAGGTACATGTACCATTCCTTTCCTTTAAAAACCTTTCCTCTTATTTCTTTTCTTTTCCTCTATTTATATATATCCAAACATAGCGTTAATATTTAAGATATATGGTGGTTTTTATTCATTATTTTCTGTTCATTTTTCCCTAACCAATATAATTTTTGAATTAAACTAAATTAAACCTTATCAATAAGAAATGTAACATTGACTTTTTTCTTTTTTTTTATAAACAAAGCTTATTATTTTGGTTAATAGCTCATTTGGTTCTTAAAAATAAAAGAGGATTTTGAAATGTCTAAATCAACTATTAGATGTAGCAAAAACCAATAATAATGTGTACATACTCTTTGTTACCTAATGATTTCCTTAATGGGCCGTCTTATTTGCACACATGTACGTGAAACAATTTCACTATTGTTGATATTTATTTTTGTTCTTTGACTAAATGTGCAATTCTTCTAATGCAGTAATGTTGGAAAGAGGAAAGGTCTTGTGCTTTGTCATGGGTAATTGTTTCCTGCCTTACAAAGTTTTAGAGTTATGCTACTTTAAGTTCTCTTATTTGTTGCTTGATAAAAACTTTTGCAATAACACTAGCAGGTGTAACTTGCTTTGTTGCCTCACCTGCTGAAAGAAAGCGCGATAACTCATCCAAACTAATAGAAGCAATGTGATTATGGATACAACTTTCTCAAGATTGAAATGGCTATCTCTTATAAATAACTGGCTTGTATATGACACAAAAATTTTGACCTATAAGCTTTGTTTATGATGAATGTTTATATTGGCTTTGGGTTCTTATTGCTAGTTTTTGCGTTTAAACATAATTAGTTTATAAAGTTTCTAATGACATTGGCAAAGTTTTAGACATTTACAATTTTAGTTTAATGACAACACATGAAACATTTGAGGCATACAAGTGGTGACTGAAGCTTGGTTACTTGATGGCATCGAGAAACAAAAAGCACAACCTTCATAAGCTTATGACGTAGTTTTATATCTTGTTGTTGATGGCAAAAGAATCCCATAGGATAAACAAGAATCTAAAAAAGTAGCATTTAAATCACTTTTAGTAGAAGTATGCATTTCCTTCAGAGACACTTTAAAAGATAGTAGATGGTCATTGTTTGTCTTAATTCTGTGATTTAATTGCTTGTAGCTTAAGCTATGTGGAAAAAGAGAAGTCTACAAGGATAGCAAATTACGGGAAAAATGTGGTCATATCTTTGAGAAAGATGAGATATTGTATAATTGTGCCTTTTCCCTTTATGACCAAAGACGGGGCATCAATGAGTAACCTAGCAAATTTTATTTAGTAATTGCGTATCCACAATTCTATATTCTTTTACATTTGCTAATTTCCAAGCTTCATTGGTATATGTATTGTATTATGCAACGAGACAATGTAGTTGTGTAATATTTTTTTGGTAACAATATTAGTTGTTTTTAAAGTTAATAATGTTGTTTCGAAATCTTTATTAACTATTGGTAACGATATAAAGGTTGTTGTAAAAAGAATATTTGCATAAAAAATTTTAGTTGGTAAACATGATGAATGTTCTTGTGCAATGACTTTTTAGCAACAATAATAGTTGTTTCTAAAATTGATAAAGTCATCATTAAATATTTATTTACTATTTGAAATGACACAAATATTGTCGGGAAAAGAATTATTTGCAATATTAATATTTGTTTTTAAATATTCTTAAGTTGTTGTAAAAATAAATAAAAACGACAAAATTATTGTTTTGTAAGAACTTTTCGCAATAGCTTTTGTCATTTTTAAATTAATTATTGTAACTATAAAATAATTGTTACAAAAGTAATTTGCAACAAAAAAATTATGCTGCAAAAAAAATTTAGATAACCAAAACAATGTTGTTATGTAAAAGTTTTTGTAACAATGTTGCTAAATATAAGTTTTGACAACCATATTAAATTGTTGTTTAAAGATTATTTATTTACTAATGACAAAAAGTAGTTGCAAAATAATTTTTTAAAATGACCGTTGAGATGATGAAAATCATTACATAAATTTTTAACAATAAAGGTATGTGCAATAATCTTGCAACGACTTTTTTATAGTGAAAAATTTTTAAAAATAACAAATGGCCTTTAGCAACGATATTGAGTGTTACTAAATTACTTTTTTTAGTAGTGTAAGTTTGTTCGATCAAATTATAAATGTCTAATGGTTTGGATAACACGAAATCAATTGATACTATCTTTCAAATGAGCATTGTAGAAGTGTTATAATTTTTTCTCTATATAACTATACTTTCAGACTTTATCTAAATTAGTAGATTAAAATCTATTCTTTTAAAAAATTTAAATCAAGTTTAGGATTTCTTTAAAAGGGGACAGAGTCGGTACCAAGCATAATAGATTTTAGTTTCAAGAATGTTAAAAGGGGAAAAAGGGGTACCAAGCATAGTTTCAAGAATGTTATTAGGAAAGTTGAAGGAAATATGAGGGGTGCTAAATCGTTGGAAGGAGGTCTGGAATACTGTAGTAGTGATATTGATGTACAGTTTTGTCCACTGAAAATTATTTGATGACCCTCCCCTTTTTATTTTTAAGAAAATCATAGAAATTGATGAAATAAAATAGTGCTGCCATTGTTAGCATATGACTAGGTGGGGTTCTTCATTCCAATATTCAGACATGACATGAGTTTGCATTGTATTTGAGCTGCTTTAAGAAGCGAGGTGACAAAAAAGAGAGTAAATTAAGAAAAACAACTTTTTGACAATTGGGAACCCACTTTCGCTGCAATATTCCAACTTTATTACAACTAAGCACCAGCATCTTCTGTTCGATGTTCCTCACTCTTCATACGCGGTTTTAGTTCATGCTATTCTCAACTGTTATCAAACCAAAAAAAAAAAAAGGGATTCCACCGCAACAATGTGTACTATAATAATGTTTTACTTGGTAACTGGTAAAGATATAAAAAGTCAAGAAAATAAAAACTTTTCAATTTAATGATTAAGTTTTATAATTACTCTAATTTTTTTGCTATTTAGTTTAATTATTGGATTAAATACTGTTAATCTCTTTCTATCATTTTTAGTTTTTTTTACCAAAGAAAGCCTTAAAAAGAATGCCATGTTTACTGTATTTGTAGCCACATGATTCCTTTCTTCCATTTTCTTTTGCTTTCAAAATTTTACTTAGTATTATTCTCTTGCTCTCGTCAATACAATTTTGTTTGCATACTTTTAGTTATTTTAAGTAATATCTTATATGAAATGTCGACGAACGATAATTCATAATTACAATTTTTATTATAATTAATTATAAGTACAATTTTTTTTAATCTTTTAAGGTAAGGATAATTCTAAAACAAACCTTATAATTAACAAAATTAAAATTTATACAAAATAAGACATTATATATATTAAACAATATTTAGTATTTATTTATTATTATACTCATTAGTTATATAAACCTTCATGTCAATAATAATCAAATAAGTGTCACAGAATTTAAAAAAAAAAAAAAGAGATATTTTCTTTACCCTTATTGATTAAAAGTTTATTTAAATGAACAATAAGATTAATTTGATGAAATTAAAAATTATGATGAAAATAAAATTAATTATTATAACAGTGAATTTAATATTAATGATGAATATATATGTTTGAATATAAATACAATAAAAATAATGAGATGAATTATAATAAGAAGAAAAATGATTGTTAAAAAGATCATATTAAATTTATAAAATTAATAGATGATTTACATATTATGGTAAATAATAATTTTGTTAATAAATAATGAAAATAATATATTATTATATAATAAAATTTATATATTGTATTAAATTAATAAAGTTGTTTCATAATTTTTAAATAAAAATCAAAATGAAAAAACTAAATTACAAAGACATTTTTGCCTTTGTAATATAAAATAAGGACAAAAAGGGAATTAAAGGAAAAAGTTGAAGACTGTTTCTTTACCGAACCAAAACCATCAATGGAGAAACGAACGTTAAACTCCCCAATCGTATTGCCGTTGTGACATCCAAATAGAAGTGTCGATTAACACACTTTTTTGACAAAGGCAAGTGCTTTTGAGTCCAAATGCATGAGAAATGAAAATTGGAATGATGACCAGTAAAACGTTACGAGCATTTATAATTTCAAAATGTTAAAGTTAATTTTAAAGAGGGTTAACTTTATTGTCCCTTTTGATATATTTTTAATGTTACTAATTTAAAATTTATGATTCTTATTTGTTGATAAAATATTGTATTTTTAGTTTTAATAATTAAAATTAAAATTATGATAATATTAAATATAAAAAAATACAAAACCTAAATAAATAATCAATATTATCAAATTTAAATATAAATTTTTGTATGCATTTCTAAAACCATTCAAAATCATAACTTTTCAACTTTTAGTTACTTTCACATTGCAAAAAAAAAAATTTGCATGGACTTTTCTAAGTCCGCCAAAAACATTTGGATGACTTTTGGAGGGAAAATCACACAAATCCAAAAGAAAAAGAAAGCCCAAGATGAAGAAACTTCGTCCTTTGCATGGCTTCAATCTCAGTTGGAAATAAAATAAAATAGTTATTAATAATTACAACAGTGAGTAAGCACACGGCGACAATCACGACGCCCTTCGACATTCCACAGGCAGACAGACGTTTTGCTATTTCTTCATAATACTATATTTTTATAAAAGTAAAAAAAAAAAAAAAAAAAACTTAAAAATATTGCAAAAAAGGACAAGCAACAAAAAGTCTCGAGACAAAAAACCTTTGATTCAGACAGTCAGTGGCCGCTGAGAGATCAAACAAAGACAACCTGCCATTAGAGGTTTCTTAACTCCGAATGTGAATCCTTCTTAATAATGTAGTTGATTTTTTCTTTCTTTTATTGCTATGAAATTGTTGGGGTATGCTTCTTTATTATTCTATTTAATGTGAAACAGTGTTTTATCAAGTGAAGCTCCACATTTATTTATGTATAGAAGGTTTTGAGGGGCTTTTGAAATCCTTTCCGGATTCTCACTTAAGTTTATTCTTTCTACTGGATTATTAGTTTTTTGTCTTCAAACACTTACTTTTCTGGTTTTGTTTTGTTTTTGTTTTTTTTTTCCAGAATTCATTGTTTTTCAGCTTGGCAACTCGGATCAGGTACTGTAGAAGTTTATACTCTTGATTTCTTCATCTGGGTATTCTTGTATGTCATGTATGTCATTAGCATGTGGAGTATGGCTTCTGGGTCGTTTAAGAATGCAACTTTTGGGGGAGTTTTGCATCTGGGTATTTTGGAATTAGAGTTTTTTTTCTTTTTGTTGCACTGCTTTCTTTTCATTAAGGGTTTTTTATGCTTTGGATGTGAAAGGGTGGTTTGGATATTTTAGATTCTTAGTTTTTTAGAAATAGTTGGAAATGCTGATTGCAGAAGATAAACTTAAAGACAGCTGCTGGAGGCATCTATGTGATTCTTTGAATTCCTTATAATTGTCAAAATCATTTGTTTCTCTCTAATCTAGTCGCTCTTCTTCAAGAAAATTTTCCAACTAGGGCTGTTTCCTTATTCTTTTAACCAAACTTCTGGGAGTCATGAGTTTATCCTGTTTCAGCTAAAGCACACATAAAATATTTTTTGCAAGGTGAATAAAATACTATCCTTAATGAGCAAAATTTCAAATACAATGGGTTTTAAACCACTGTGGACCTAATAAATCCTGCTAGTACTGGGATTTCTGCTTGGCATAATGTCAACAGCATGTTAACTAAAGACTAATAATGCATTTGCTGAATGTTATGCAATGTCTTATTTATTTGTAAGAAGTCAAAAGATCTTGTCCTATAACACATGAAGGCGGATTCTCTGTTAATGTGCTTCAAAAAGTCACATGTAAAGATGATATATTTATCCTTCTATAGCTGAATTTGGTGTAATCTACCTGCTCAGTACATGTAACATTACTTTTCAATTTCAAGCAAGAGCACTGTTAAGCAAAATCTTTTCAGAATTGATTTTTTTCTTCAACTTGTTGGCTAGCATAGTTAGCATGATCAGGGATGGAACCAGGACTTTTAGTTTGAGGGGCAAAAGCCTTATATATTATTAAGGGTTAAAATTTTTTTAAAGCTAAATAATAAACTCATATAAAATATATTAGGTAAGCTAATACAATAAGCATAAATTACAGAAAAACTGTAAGGTAAAAGTTTTCATTATTTGAGTACGAAGAGTTTTCATTGTAATGTTATATTATGGTGTTTATAATGTTTAATTCTATGTAAGATTTAAGTTTCATGATTGATTCTACACAAGTTCAAGTCAAGAATCCTAACTTTTGAATATTAAGGTATACAAAATTGATGCAATAACAAATAATTTAAATTGTTAAAAAAAAAAAAAAACATGTAAAGAGCATTCTAGAATAAACTCAATTGAAAATTTAAAATGAAATTAAAATTTTACTTTAGAATAGGTGCCTCAAGAGCGTTGTTGGTTTCATGTACCTTCCAAACATTTGCTAGGAGCTTAGGACCTCTATTGTTGATGAAATGGGTTTGGAGTTATATCTATATTTTTGTAATGAATATGGAAATTTACTTTAACTAATCTTCTGATTTAGCATTTTCCTTGCATAAAAGATGTACATATTTGCATTTTATTTCTGAAGCCCAAGGACATTAAATTTCAAATTGTTTTTCCTATATATTTAGAGTACTTGAGGCTTTTATGAGTTGTTTATTTATTTATTTTTTCTATAAATTCTCAGTGTTAGCTGAATTTAACTATTGTCTGCTGTATTTGATTCTTGCTTTTGTTAGCAGAACATTTAGCATTTAAGCTCCAGCTGAGAGTTCAAAGCACGAGACTCCCCATTTAGGTTGAAGTTTTTTATGATCAGATGATACTTGAAAGATTTCTTGGAAGCATGCTTCTGGTTCTAATTGGCATGTTTGCCAATGTGCTAGGTAATTTAGAAAATTTTTTGAGGGATTCTTTTTTTGTTTGCCAAGTTCTATTTGGAAGCTTAATAATATAGAGGTGTGCTATTTAGATGAGGCTTTAGAAATTTAGAGTTTTTACCTTTGGCATTAGTTCTTCCTATCAGTCTTAAAGCATCAGTTGTAAAAATTATAATCATTATAAAGGATCTTTCTTTTACCACTGATGAACATCATTGTAAAACCGAAACCATGTTAGTCATAGTTGCTGGTAATATATACTTCAAATTGGTTCAGTCTGCATTTTCTAGTGCTAGTATTTAAAAGGTGCCTATAAGACATGCCTTCAAAGATCCAAGACACCACTGAAATCAAAATGCTTTTGTTCTGTTCTGTTTTTTGTTTTCTTTTACATTTTGTTTGTCCACAGCATACACTTTTTTTGGGCTTTTCCTTGGGTTTATGCCTGAGTAGGTGTCATTTTCTTGTATTGTGGAGAATGATGGTGAAACATTGAGGCTTTTAAATCTGGGATAGGTAGTTTGTTGACTGTTGTAATACTTGTGTAAATAAAGTAAATCAACTGATGGTTCCTTTATTTACCACTTTGGAGATCACACTGAAGCAAATGCAAGCCAAAAAGAAAAATGAAGCACAATGGAATTTCACTATTACCATTATGATGAAATTACCTTTAATAATCCAATGGGACAAATTGTTTTCCATTTTAGTTAGAAGGGGATTCTTAATGTTAAGTAATCTACATAAAAAAAGCAAGATGTAATAGTGTTTCTTGCCAGTTCTTACTGACTTAGGTTCTTGATTGTATAGGTGCATTTGTTGGGATAAATATAGGTACTGATGTTTCTAGCATGCCGTCAGCTTCAGATGTGGTTGCTGTTGTCAAAGCCCATCAAATTACTCACATACGACTTTATGATGCTGACTCTCACATGCTGAAAGCCCTGGCAGACAGTGGAATTGAAGTTACTGTTGGCGTGACAAATGAAGAAGTCCTGGGAATTGGAGAATCAGCATCAGCAGCAGCAGCCTGGATCAACAAAAATGTAGCATCCTATGTGCCTTCAACCAACATTACAGCCATTGCTGTTGGCAGTGAGGTTCTTACCTCAATCCCTCATGCTGCCCCAGTTTTAGTTACTGCTATGAATAACCTCCACAAAGCTCTTGTGGCTTCTAATCTAAATTCTCTGGTTAAAGTTTCAAGCCCCCAATCAATGGACATCATCCCCAAGCCTTTCCCCCCTTCTACTGCTGCCTTTAATTCCTCGTCAAACTCTACAATATACCAGCTTCTTCAGTTTTTGAAGAATACTAACTCCTATTACATGTTAAATGCTTATCCCTATTATGGTTACACTAATGGAAATGGCATTTTTCCAATTGATTATGCTCTTTTCAAACCCCTCCCCTCTGTTAAACAAATTGTTGACCCAAACACTCTCTTCCACTATAACAGCATGTTTGATGCAATGGTTGATGCAACCTATTATTCTATGGATGCTCTCAATTTTTCTGGGATCCCTATTGTTGTCACAGAAACAGGATGGCCTTGGCAAGGTGGATCCAATGAACCTGATGCCACTGTTCAAAATGCTGAGACCTTTATTAATAATTTGATCCGCCGAGTTTCCAATAATTCAGGTCCACCTAGTCAACCAACTATTCCCATCAATACATACATTTATGAATTGTTTAATGAAGACAAGAGAACTGGGCCTGTCTCTGAGCAAAACTGGGGGGTGCTTTTTACAAATGGCACTGCTGTTTTTCCTCTGAGTTTGAGTGGTTCTAGTCAGATTACAGGAAATTCTACTACAGTTTTCTGTGTGGCAAAAGACGATGCTACTGAAGATAAGTTGCAAGATGGGCTTAACTGGGCATGTGGGCAAGGCCAGGCCAATTGCAGTGCTATACAATCAGGGCAGGTATGCTATCTGCCAAATAACCTCAAGAACCACGCATCTTATGCTTACAATGATTATTATCAAAAAATGCATAGTGTTGGTGGGACATGTGATTTTGATGGGACAGCCACAACTACTACTAATAATCCAAGTAAGTTTGCACAAGTTTTTTCATCATTATTGATCTTATTAATTTTATCTGCAATTTCTATCTTTTAAATACTTGAGTATAATTTGATTCAGTCTAGTCAGAAGTTTTGCTAGAAGACTTATATGATGCAATATCAATGCCTACGCTTGCTTTAACAAGAAGTTGATATTTCTTTTGATAGTTTGCCATTTGAACTAAGCTTTGTATAGGAACCTTTTTCAGGAAATAAACTTACCTTTTTGGAGCTACAAAGCTAAATATTTCTTAGTCCTAAAACTATCATCCAAACCAAAAATATTAAGTGATTGGTGATTGTATGCACTATATATTTAGTTGTTAAATGTGGAAATTCTTGTTAGCATTTCAAATTGTAATTCAGTAATATGTGTGCTCAATAACATTTCTAGGTTTTGCCTTCTTTCTGCCGATTACTTGTTTGCAGAGCTTCACGCCCATGCTCCTAAAATATTATTGGGAAAATTTTAAAAACCACCTGAGGTTGGTCAAAGATACAATTTCCCTTGCATTTCCAAAAGTGCAAAACTAGATAAGCTTCCTTTGGTCAAGTTCATAAGATTCTCATTAAAAATGATAAAGTAGAAACCAAAATTAAAAAGGAGGGAATATAATTTTAGATCAGGCCAACAACTATGTGGTCTGTTGGTAGAGTGTTGAACTTTTAGTTATAGTGCAGCCTCAAATATAAAAAATGTATATATATGGATCAGCAATATATGAACAATTAATAAACAAAATAGTATTTTTATGTGAAATATGATAAATGGTTATTGAAGGGTGAAAATTTTTAATTAAAATGCCTGCTTAACTAAAGTATTAGTACTCACTTAAACCACTCAAAAAATTTTACGCTTGATTTAACTTTTGTGTAACCAAATTAGTTTCAAATGAAAGATGTAATTTTTATCCACTTTTTTTGCTTTTCCAATTTCCCTACTTTTTTTTTTTTGGCTTAATAAATCTGTAACCACCTAATTCCTTTTCTGTCAACTTTATCACTTACCCTTTTTTCGGAATTTTCATTTATCAAATTGTTTATTTCTTCATTAACTATCTAACCGAAAACCAATGGTAACAGGTGGTGAAGTCCATCTTGAACATAAGGCCAGAACAAAACCTAAACTTTGCTAATGTGTGATAACACCACTTTGGTTTTTGTAATCTAACTAAATTTCTTAATCACCTAAAAATTGTATCCATGTCATTGTCTATCACAGAACTCTTGGAGATCTTAAATCTCTCTGGAGAAAATATCTAGTACTTACCCAATCAACATTACTGTCTTTATTCTCTCTTCTTCCCTCACCTTGGTCTCACCTAAGCCCTCCATAACCCCAGTTTTCTGTTTCTACCAGTTGTTACATTCACATTCTTTAAATTATTTTCTCTACTGTGTTGTCCTCGTTTTGTTCAACAACAAACCCATCTTTACCAATTGTTACATTTCAATATATATAATGGTTATGATGTCCAATAATGAATATCGGTTCCAGATTCTTAGAAGCTAGTCAAGGATTTTGGTTGTTGTTTTTTAAATTTCACTAATGGGTTTTATGTAGTGGCTTGTGTGTTTGCGCATCTTGTTTTAAGATTGGATTCTTCTTACTATATGAATTATACAAATTCTATTTCATATGCTTGAAAATTTCCTCATCTTAGTTCTTTATATTTCAACTTGTTCTGGTCTATACTATCATAATAGTGCTATGCTGTCTATTAGGTTAGCTCCAATAGTTCCTCTGGATTAGGAAACCTAATCAACAATAAAGTCTTCAAATTTTTTGGTTCTTTTCTTCCATAATGAAATAACCATTGCAAAGATTTTATACTGAAAACAGAAAAGTTTGAAGCTTTTTGATAAAGTTCTTCTCATTGCACTTCGTGTTAGACAATTTTACTTGCTTTGACCTTGGACATCCACATTTTGAAATTGAACAGAAAGGGAAACTCCATTAAAATCTTTGCTGTGATTAAGCATCTGAGATGATTTGTAGGCGTGTCAAGAAGGGGGCATGTGGAGGTGATTTGCTAGCTAGCTTGCCTTCAGTGCTGACATAGTAGCTGAAGCAGCAGAAAAGAGGGCCGGGGAACGAGAAAGGAAAAAAAAAAAAAAACTAAAATCTAATTTTGCTGCTGCATGACAATTTTTTTAAACATAGACAATGACAGGTGTACATTATTTTCCAAATGTATTAGATGTTCATCACTTAAATAGTAATTCATTACGTTTTGTCTTTCCTTTAATAGACAAATATAAAAAACCAAAACCCCAAATTGATCAAAATAATACCTTACATCCTTGATCGAAAAATTTAGCAAACTTTACATCTAATTGGGGCATTTACTCTTTAATTTAAATATTTTCCTTGAATTCCCTCGTCTACAGTTTCTATTTTCTTCCTTTTTATAACACTATTATAGACTGTTGAACTATCTAGCAACAAAACTGATTTGCTTATGGACATCCACCATTTGCTATTTTTGATGATTGACACGTTAAACAAAATTATCAATTCAGATTCAGAGATGTACATTATATCTGCTTCATCTTACCTGATATTGATTTTATGTTTCATTTGGATAATTATATTACATTGTAGCAGAGGTATCACAGTTAGAAGTGTGAGTGTGTGTATATATATATATATACATACATATATAGATGTGTATATATATATATACATACATATATAGATATTATGTAATGATTTTTGTGTACCGAGTATGTCTTTCGAGTGTTTTTTTTTCCTCTCTAACAAGACAGCTTCCTATCGAGTGTTTTATATCTGAGAATATGCTCAAATTCTTGACTTTTATATAAGCCCTATTCTTTGCGACATCAACTATATTGCATTTCGTTGCTGCCTTATTATTTAATTATCATATATTCTTTCTTTCTTTATGTCATGATATCCAGCTTACATCTTTTTTTTGGCTTATTACTTTTTTGGTGGATAACTCCTGCAGGTTATGGGTCCTGTATATTTACCGGAAGGTGAGGTTCCAAGTCTTTTACAGTTGATGTGTTCTGAATTAACAATGATTTATTTAGGATCATGACCTTTGTTTTTTACTTGAAGCAGTTCTAATTCAAGCACGGGTGGAGGGATTTCGCCTCCTGTAGCATTTGGTCCTATAAGTCCTTTGGGAGAGAGTGCGAAGCTTCCTGTGTCCAAGGCTCAATTGCTAATCGCAGCAGCTTGTCTTGTCGTGGTGTTGCTATAACATTGGATTTACACCTTGTTGGCGGGATCAAAGTGGTGCCGAAGATCACAATGAGAAGAAGAAATCCACAAAGCTCAATGATAAGTTATGGTTGTTTTAATCTTAATTCATGGTGGTATTCACTTGTCCATCATTACCAATTTTGCTTAAGTTTAAGTTGGTTGATCCTATTGTTTCAGTTATCGGGTGCCTTCTGGGGTTCATTGCATTTGTATGATCTTTGAAGTGGTAGCAGTAGCCATTCTAGCCTTGATTTATTTGGGACTTAAGTAAACTTGGATTTGTTAGTTGACATTCACAATCTAAATGCAATTCTGTCTAATCCTATTTCGCCTGTTTTATAGTGTACAATCAGTCCTTGAAAGAAAATTTCGATATTTTGCTTGTCTGTTCGTAGTCTAAGATTTTTACTTTTTTTAGATTTTGCTATAATTGAAAGTAAATAACAGAATGTAACAGTATTCTTATTTTATAAAATAATGAAATATGAATACGTAAATTAGATTAATGAAAATACAGATACGATAACACAGTAAAAAAAATAAATAAAAGTGATATGGTTAAAATTTTTGCAAAAATAATAAGTTTGACAAAACTTAAAAATGTATTTTTGAGTTTAACAAAAATATAAAGATTATTTGTTTGAGGTGGAATTATAAAATTGTAATTTTTGTATTTAACAAGATATTTTAAATATATTAAACATAAAATAAACATATATTACATGCATAATTTTCGTGTTTAACTTAAATGGGATAAATATAAAAATAACTCATGTATCATAAATTTTTTATTATTTTAATATTTAAAGAAATAAAATTGTCAATTTGGTATTTTAATTTTTATTTCGTCATCTACTTTATTACTTTGGACTAACGACAACGTCATTAGTAAGTTTGTTTATATGGTATGAATGTCAAATAAAATATCGATATATGTAAAAAAAAAATTTATTTATTAAAGGATCACACCATTGAAAAAACTTACATGCACAAAGTTGTTATAAATTTAAACAAAAATCATCACCAAATTAAATGAAAAAAAAATACTAAATTAAAAGAAATAAAAATCATAAAAACAATAATTTGCTACCCATAGTTGCTACTTGCTTCTCATATTCAACATAATACATACTAATTTGTTGAGTTCTTAAATATCTACAAAATTCAAAACCAATAATTGTGTCAATTCCTCTCTTTCAACCCTTAGCTCCTTGCTTTCAAACTCCCTTTCTTTTTCTCTTCAACATCGAAAAAATTGCAAAAGTTTCTTGTTTTTTTTTATTTGGTTTAATTTTTTTAGTGGACATTGTAAAAATGTTTTTTGCTTTTTTTATTTGCTTAATAAACACTAACAAATTCCACATAATAAAAGTTTGGAAGATCATGTGTCATGCCATTGCGATTTAGATAATCTAGTAAACGGAAGAATCACATTAACACACGTTTGGACAATTGAGAATTTAATTAAAATTTTTTAAAGTTTAAGGACCACACTCGTTATTAACTCTAAATAAAATTGATAATTAGGCACTTAAACTTTCATTATATCATCCACTTTAGTATTTTTTACTAATGTCATTAATAAACTTATTGATGTGATATAAATATCTAATAAGATGTTAATACATGTTAAAAATTTTGTTATTACAAAATCATTAATAATCATGTCACTATTACAAGAAAAAGTTAAAAAAGCTCAAAAAATTTATAAAAAAAAAACCCAAAAAATTTAAAAAATTTTAAAAAAGAATTTTCAAAAAACTTTTAAAAAAATTAAATAAAATTTAAAAAATTATCTAAAAATCTAACAAATTAAAAACATCTAAAAAAGGATAATGGAAATTTTTGAAAAAATAAAAAACATATATTAAAAATTCAAAAAAAATCTCAAATATTAAAATATTAAAAATACTAAAAAAAATCAATAAAATTAAAAATATCAAAATATGAAAAATTTCAAGAAAATAAAAAAACTGGAAAATAAAAAAAAATCCTAAATTTAAAAAAAAAAAAGAACTTAAAAAAAATTAAACATCTCAAAAAATATGAAAATTTCAAATATTAGTTTTTCAATTTTTTGGGAGAAATTTTCATTTTTAAAAATTTTTTGGATTTGTTATTTCTTTTATAATTTTCTTGAATTTTTATGAATTTTTTATATTTTTTCCCTTTTTTTTTTTTGAAATTTTTAGATTTTTTTTGAAGGTTTAAGAATTTTTTAATTTTGGATTTTTTTTTAGATTTTTTTTGTTTTAAAATTTTTTTGGTATTTAGGTTAATTTTTTGAATTTTTCATAATTTTTTTATTTCTTATTTTTCATAATTTTTGGATTTTTTTAAATTTCTAGATTTTTTTAAAAATTTAGATTTTTTTTTTAAATTTTAGATTTTTTATGCTTTTATGAATTATTGTTATTTTTATGAAAAAAAAATCTTTATATATATATATATATTTTTTTGTAAAATTTTCAGATTTTTAAAATTTTTTGAATTTTTTCATATCTCATAATTTGTTGTATTTTTTATAATTTTTTAAAAAATATTTTAGTTTTTTTAAATTTTTAATGTTTTTATATTTTTTTTAACTTTGCTTTTAATGTTAAGATGATAATTGATGATGTGGTGCTGAGAAAACTTTTTTGAAACGTGTTAATGTCTTGATGGATGTTAATATCACATTAGCAAGTTAACCAATGATGTTAATCTAAAAAGCCAAAATAAATGATTGAATAAAAGTTAGAGTGCCTAATTGTAAATTTTATGTTTTAGGTATCAAAGTGACAGAAGTGTGTAATATAGTTACCATTTTTGCATTTAAACCTTTTTAAACAAATAAAATTTATTTTATAATTTTTTATTTTTCAAACAACAAAATCTAATTTTCTTTTAAAAAAATAAATAAAAACTTTTAGAATTTTTCAAAGAAATTATTTTTTCCTTATTTTTAGTTTTTTTTTAAAAAATAACACGTGACATCCACATCATTGACATGTGGTAACCATGTGTCATCCACATTACCGTTGATTACTATATCAGCATTTTTTCTAACGATTTTAAGAGTTGGAGTAACTTAATAGGCAAAAATAAAGGTTAGATAGCGATTTAAATTGTTTTTTTTTTTAATTTAAGTAACACATTAAAAAGTGTAATAATTTAGGAGTTATTTATTATATTATCTCACTTGAGATCAATTCAATTTACTCTTTTAAATTACTTATTTATATTTGAGCTAACAATATATATATATATATATATATAATAAAAGTAGTCATTTAACTTTGATCTCTTATACACCTCTGGGATGTCTTAAAAGATAATTAAAGGGTAAATTTGGGCCAAAAAATTGTTTTATAGTTGTTTGTTTCAATTCTCACCATTCATTTTATCTAGTGATCAGTGTCCTCTTTGATCCATTGACTCATTGTCCTTCAATTATTCACAAACTAACCCCCAACAAGACATTTCTAGAAAGAGACTATTTGGCAAAATAAATCATTTTCCTTTCGTGATTCAAAATCTTCTAAATCCTTCTAAAATTTTGTATATCTAAATCCAAACCAAACTAAAACACCATTGTTTTGGTTGTCTTTAACTATATGAGAAATCAAGAGAAAACTCCTTACTATTTTATTAGCCTTCTAACCATTTATTCAAAGCACCTAAATCGAAAAAAATTCAAAAGAAAACTTTTTTATTTTTATTTTCTGTGTATTGCTTGTATTATTGGATGATTTGTCTCTAGGTTTGCTAGATTTGTTCATTTTGATTTTTTTTGCTAATTTGGGATTGGGTTTAGATTATGGGTTGGATATACTAGGTATTGTGGAAAACAAAGAAAAAAAAAAGAGAGAAAGATATAAGGGAAACTAAGCGAAAGCCTAACGATGATTAGAGCGTGCTTTTTCCTTTCACCTTTTCCCTTTTCCTTCATATTTTATTATTTCCTTTTCTATTGTTCATGCAAATTCTGAAAAACAGAAAAGATAGAGATGAAGGGGTAGAAGGTTAGGGGATATTAGACCTAAACCATTGACTCAGTGTGGCAACATTAAGGCCAGGTACAACTCAGCCTGGATGGTTGGCTCTTTCATTTCAGTCTTTCGATGAATGATATTTAGCATATATCTAGATGAATATCCCCAACTATTCATGCCTGTTCATGCCAGGATACAAACCTTAAACACATGAAAAGCTTTATAATAAGGCTTCTAAGTTGAGCTGGTCATATTGGTTAAAGATGCTGAAGTATTGATGGTAGGTTTTGCTATTTACCTAACACATCCTGGGTGCTTCAATAACATAAGAATATTTTGAAAGCATGTAAGTTTAGAAAAGTATGTATTGATTTGAGTTTTACACTCATATGCTTTGTGATCATTAAATTGGTGAAATGGAACTAATTTTTAGCCTATTTATAATAGTTTAAGAGTGATATTGCTATTTTTTTTTCGAAAGAAAAGCGATTACAAACAAAGACTAATCTAAGCATCCTACCATGTAAAATAAGCATTGATCTAGCATGACACCAAGCAAGATATAATTGGATATAAAAAATATAATATTGGTGACCTCTATTAAACTATTTTATTTTCTATGTACAAAATATTTAATATTTTCCATATTAGAATTATATTAAATGGAATTTGTAACCCATCATTGAATTTAATATAAATATTACAATGCCTTTTTTAAGATAATTATGGCTTTTAAAAGTTGCTCATTCCATTGGTTATCACATCTAATTATGTCATTTGCGTTCCTCGTGACATGAATACATATATAGTACATTAGAATTGAAAAAAAAAAAAACTTTAATTTTGCACATTATTTTTACAAATAGACATTCTTTCCTTTCATATAAAAGGCAAATGAGAAAATTAACTTAGGTGAATTAAAATCCAATAAAGGACCTAACTTTGGGTAATGATAAGCAGAAGTAATTACCTTTTTAAGTTGTAGCCATGGATTCAGTCCATCTATTTCATCTTAAGTTGCTTTAAGAATGTATAATGTATCAGACTAATGCTGAAGAGTTTTAGGTAGTTTTATTGGTTGTTATCAAACTAATCAACATCTATTCTTTTAATATACATCTTTAACGAATTGGCTTTAATGTTTGATTCCCTTGATTTTATTTGCATGTTTAATTTCTAAAATTGCTTCAAACATTTTCTTAAATTTAACATTTACATGGTTTTCTAGCAGGCAATCTTTAAGGAATTTTAGTAATTGTACAGAACTTTGAATGTGTTTTAGCAATTGTTTTAAAGTTAGATTTGCTATATTAATTGTTGATTCAGATTGACATTAAATTAACTTTCGTATTTGATTTTTTT